TTTTTGAAGTTAATGACACTGCAGTTGTTAACTGCAGCTCATCCGTATAACATGAGGGGCTTTGCCAAGGGTGGACACACCGTTCAGCTCTCCAGAAGATCTCTTGTTTATCTGCAGTACGGATCTATGAGTGAGTCATTTTGTCTTGGAAGAGAAAAGGTTAGTTTCTTTGCATTCATTGCAATATTTTGCCTGGGCCTTCTTACTGGAAGACGTTAGCAGTTAAAGATTGAAAAGCTCTTAGGACCAGTCTTGCACTGACTTGCTCGCTCCTGTAGAAGGGCTTTATGTGTCACCGCCAGTGGGGCTGTGTGGGTATGATTTCCACTGCGCTCCCAACGAGGGGTGGCACTGTGGACACATGGGCACAGGCACATCTTGAGGATGGCTGTGGAGTGACAGGATCCTGCCTTGCACAGAGCAGAAGCATGGGGCTGGCTAAACGAAAATGGCTGATCAGGGTGATGTCTCCAGCTGTTTTCATTGTACATAGGAACCGGGGTATTGGTGCGTGTAATATGTATAGCCTCGGTGGGTAAATTATGCAGCTAATACAGCTGTATGCCTCTGTTGACTGTGATGACAGAAAAACAAATGTATTTTTTCACTTGAAAATTATTTCTTTATTCCTTTTTGTCAGTTTTTCCTCCTGACATCATATTCATTCATTTTTTTGGAAGTGATAGAAAGGGGTTGCAATGGTACCTGTCAGAGGATTGGTCTGTCCAAGCATCCTTGTCTTCTTGTGCACGTCTCTGCTTCTGTTAACTCACACTTGCAAATTACAACTTACTTGTGACAACATCAAAAATTGGAAACAACGTCTAAGCTACCAGTGGATTTCCCAGTCAGTCATTGGTGAAGGCTTCACTCTTTCCCTAACAGCAAGACAGAACTTTGCCACCTTCAGCAGAAAGGCATGATTCACAAATATGACTCAGGATGGGCAAAGGCTGCAGAACTAGTTAGATTTTTAGAAATGCATGAAGAAAGCCCCATGGCCATGGCATTTACATGTACTTATTAACAAAGAGGAGCTCTGCCAGTCTAGAACTCTGCGCAAGCCTGGGAAGTGGATTTGACATGGAAACGTCTGTAGAAATACCACAATGGCAGATTATGGTTCACAACATTAAAACCATTTGTGTGGATTTCCAAATGTGGTCCATACGACAGGTTTTATCCAGAATCTGCTGGTTGCCACTGAGGCTGCAGAAGATAAAGCCCTGATGCTCTTCCCTGCATTGATTCTATAAGGGAAGACAGAGGTCTGGACGCACTTCAGTGGGACTGTTCAGTGCTTAGACAGAGGTGGACATGAAGATTAGAAGTATTTGATTTCTACGGCCAAACCTCTGCTAAAGGTGTTATATAAGTATCAAAAGGAATAACAAAGTCCACTTGTGAAGATTCCTACAGGATTGGGGCGGATATTGTCCATGGAGGAAAGGATCAGATCATTTTTTGAAATCCCTTCCAGCCCTATTTCCTATGATTCCTTGAAAAATTTGTTGCCTAAAGAGACAAGTCTCCCATTTCATTGCTCTTGCAAGTACTGCTGGCATTGACTCAAAGTTTGAAACAAGCAGACACTTCCTTTCCTTTTATACACGTGCTGGGCTGGTTTTGGATAACACTCCTGGTAGAAATGTCCATCCAATCTCTGATCCACTGTGCAGTCCATCCAGGGATTGCCCTTATGGTATCATGGCTAAATGCTACATCCAAACTCAGATTCATCACATCTTGTTATTTGGCAGCTGAGAACCACAGCAAGGGACTTCTCCTTTCTGCTTCCTGATGGTAAGCAGGAAAGCATCTATCAGGAAACACATTCTTCTGAAGAGCTGGCATTCATGCTGAGGGCAGCCTGATTCATTCTGGATGCTATTCAGGTCTTGATACCAAAGACTACCACCTATGTAATGCACTGAATGCAGCAACCTTTAATTCAGCTCAGGGAAGATTCCTCTCATCACACCTCTGTTACTGCCTCCAGTTTCTTCTCTCATCCAGTCTCTAAAATGGATATATACCCAGTTGTCACTGAATATACTCCGACCTTGGACTTCAAATGCTCCTCCTGAGGGTCTGTTAGCTTTGAAGACTCTGTTTCATGCAGCTTTGAAATGATCATTCAATTGAGTCTTATTCAGCTGGAAGAGGGATTAAAATACACATACTGTGACACTCCTTGAGCATAAACATTTCACTGGATTACGAGCTGGCTAATACATATCCCCACCAAAGATTCACTACTTATAAGCAAGGTCATCCAGCTGTTTCAGAGTGGTTCAATATTGAATGCGGTAACGTGGAATAAGCATTGACTTGCCTCAGTCACTGTGCTTGAACCCCGCCACCAAGTCTGAACAGGCAGTATCACAGTCCTTGTTCAGTTAAGGCAACTGCACACTTCATTCTCACTGTTTTTAGGGTTTACACGTCCCAGTGTGATGGCTGGCAAGCAAAGCTGTGGAGAAAGAAGCAGCACAGAGCCACCAGCAACTGACTGTGAGGAATCTCCGCAGGTCGCTCACAGCATCCCTACATCATGTAGCACCCAGCGATTGCAAGCTTCGAGGAAGAGAGCAAAAGTTTTGATCAATTATCACTTTATACTCTTAGCTAGGAGGTCATGAGGTATACGTGGAGGGAGGCTTTGGTGTTTAAGATGAACTTGGTTTCTTACATATGTGAAGTGGGTTCTAAACTGACTTTAGAAAGACCCAGGACTATTGATTGCAACTGATTTTCTGAGCATGTGGTAAATGCAAGTGGAAAGAATAAAGTGTCCCTAAGAACAAATTGTCTCAAATTGCATTTTATTTTCAGCTGAAACTTTCTGATATTAATGCATTTTATATTTCATAAGAATGTTCTCTAGTTTGCTAAAACTAACTGATCTCTCTAATAATGGCAAGGTCTTGGCTTTGTTTCAAGGCAAAGGTTCACACAATTAAATCTCATTAACAGAGGACCACAAAACCTGCACTAAAACCCTTATTGGCATGTGACTTTCAGCAGAACTGCTTCATTAAGTCTGAGATCCTGGAGAAAATGTTTGCTGAATAAAGTCATTCCTAATTAATGTTAAAATGTCAAGGATTCATCTGCCATCCATTTTTACTCCTTTTCCTTTATGCTTTTAATTATCTCTTTAATGAGCAACAAATATAAAAGTCAAAAGCAGCATCTTTTAAGTGTACACACAACAGGTGGGACAATGCAGCAAGGCAAATTTGCCAGACGTGCTTTCCCATGTAATATTTGCAACTTCCTAGATATCCTTCCGAAACCTCACTTAGATGTTGCCATTAAGTATTGATTAATTAATTTGTTCTTTGTAGAAGGGATAAGTATCGAGGGTGATTTTCCTTTGCATCCTTTCTAATGTAACCTTGAGTTTTATCTCAAGCCATATGCAAGTCTGGATTAACAAAGGTGTTCATTTGCTCTATGATGAAAATAATTGTGTGTCTATTCTCCAAGGATCACTCATCCAAGATTTTTTTTAAAGAAATAAACGAGTCTTTGGTGAGTTCCTACTCTTCAGACCAGAGGGACATTCTGGTTGGATTGAGGGGTCATCACAGGGTGGTGTACAAACATGGTGGGTCTGAACTCTGAAAATCCTCATTTGTTTTTGCAATGACCAGCGATAACAGCAGACATTGGAGCTGCTTGGACTTGTGTAGCAGGACTTCAGTGATGAAGGCTTAGAAACACTCGGCAGCCTCTTTAATTCTTATTCTCACATTAAAGTAATGAGACCTGTCTTCCTGCCCATCAATCTGTACAGCATATGCAAGTCCTTCTGCTATGGTTTAAATAGGAATGACTCATATGATATTAAGCCTCTTAATGAAAATGGATTACATTATTGCCTTTCGCAAAATGGGAGGTTTAAAAAGCCAAGTTAGTGTCTTTCAAATGTCAGTAACTGGAGACACTTTGGACAAAGAGTGAATTTTATAGCTTTTCTGGGTATCTGCAAGCTGAAGTCATCTTTGCAATGAAGGATAGTAAATGATAAGAAAAACTATTAGAAATTAGAAGTTCTTTGAATTGACGTTTAATGAGAATTAGGTTCTGCCAGCCTTCAAAATGATTTCTTATGATGGCAATCTTGTTTTCTCCTTACATACTTGAACTGACATGTTTGTATTGGCATCTTTCTGAGTACCTTTTCAATAGCAACTACATTATTCAAATCACCAAAAAAATCTGTAATCCCCAAATTCAGTGGTACAAAGGATCAGTCTCTGATCCTGGCTATTTATTGAAAATTGCTTTGCAAAAGTGATTTAAAAAATGAAATAGGGATAAAAGTCAAGATGGTATCCAAGCCACAGACTCTAAAGCCTGGCATCTTGTAAAGCATTACAAAGTTCCAGCACTGCATAACTTATAGAAAATTGCTATTTTTGTTTATACCCAATTGGCAACAGAGCTTAGGAAGATTTAAACTGTAGCTGAAGCACTTGTAGCTAAGTAGAAATGCTGTTTGAATCCATTGATACGTGTCTAGTGTGACTTTGTGAACTCTTTATGGAGGAGAACTAAATCTCAGTCATTGCAGTTCTCCGTTAGCCCCGAGGGAGCCTCGGTTATGTTACCGTCGGGCAGGAGGGAACCCAAGCTCTGCCAACACGTGCACGTATATATGTTCCTGTATCCGTGTACAGGACACATAGTAGAGGCAACAGGGCCTTTTATGCTGTCATGAATATGTGTACAAATATGAATAATCTGATGTTTCTTGAGCAAGATAATTATGCTTAATAACCTATATATTCAGAGTAATTTTTATCAATTGTGTTCATTTGTGTATATGGCATAATTTAATGAGTATTTTTAATTGATATTCCTGTGGCATCTTCCCTGCGCTGTGATTAGACTGGGATTTTCATATCTACACTGTTTCATTTATTGCTAACTAGTAATTTATGTCTAATAGCCTTTTTTTCTGTTCTCTCCTTTTTTTTATTTTTAATTAGAGGAGATCTTGAAGACTCATATTGCTCATTGGTGGTCTCCTGATGGCACCAGGTTAGCATATGCAACAATTAATGCCTCCAGAGTCCCCACCATGGAGATCCCGGTATACACCGGCAGCCTTTACCCTACGGTTAAAACATACCATTATCCAAAGGTAAGGGAAAATAAAACAAACAATCCTGTTGTTCTATCAAAAAAAAAAACTTTTTTTTTTTTTTTCCAGTAGGCTCAGACAGGAGACTGTATAATAGTGCACATTCATAAGCAAGGAAAATAAACAGATCTAAGGGAAGATCAGCTGTTCCCCAGTGAATGGGGTCTTCATTTCTCTTTAGTTGCATTTGTAAAATTGCAGTTTTCTGATTCGAGTATTAGTCATTCTAAATATAATGAAAATAAAATTTAAAAATTCTTGCTTTGTACCCACACAAAAGCAATTGTGCTTCCATGCTAGATATGTGTCTGAGAGTTTGGAAGCCCACATTACTGCATTTAGAAACATTTCCTTTTATATAGAAGAAAAATGTAGTATTTGGGCTTCCTTAGAATATCCAATGCCTAATGTCAGAGGAGCTAGTCTGATTTTGGAGGCATGTTGTGCCTGATCCTTGCAAAGAACATAGTGAAAGACAGAAAAGAGATAAGAGCCAATCTCTCCTTGATTGGAGAGACCTGTACAGCAGTCCTGCAGCGGGTACACAGCACCAGCGCAGCTCTCTACCAGTATTGACACACTGCTGCTGTTATTGCTGTAATTTTCTACTATAAGACAGTACGGAAGTGTACTGTGCTGCAGTCATTTCTTCTGGGTGTCTCACTTTAGGCACTGATTACCTTACATGTTGGTCCAAATTGGACCATAATTTAACAGGAGAGTTATCCACATATATGCAGGTTTTGTGGAAAGTAACAGTGATTCAGCAGGGGATGCCCTTTCCTACAATACAAAATGAATGAGTATTTTACTATGTCTACCATCATCGTGTTAGACAACCTTTTATGAGAAGACACATAAAATAGCGATATTTCTATTCGCTATATGAAAAGTAGCATCTTTTACCAGGACTAGAGGTTTCCTAAGTAAAATTACCCCTTGGTTGTGCCTACCAACCTCTCCATACCTCTGTGCCACATCACTACAGTTGCAATTTTTCTGTGAACAACTGCAGCAGTCCAGTCCGTACCCTTATACAATGGGAGTGCCTTTTATAATCTATGGGGATTATAAAATGATAAATCAAAACCGTTCTGTGTTGTATAAGATATGGTAATTTATTCTTATTTTAAAATCCAGGCTGGAATGGAAAATCCAACTATTTCTTTGCATGTGATTGGTCTGAACGGACCTACCCATGACCTGGAAATGACTCCCCCCGACGATCAGAGAATGAGGTAGGTGCTTTCTTGCCCTGGGATGCTGGGCCCCATTTCTGTCCGGGATTTAAATCAGTCCCTGACTGTTTTCAAAAGCATTTTACAGTGTCTTTCTCTGCCACTATCAAGGAGTTTCTTTTTGTGTAAATCTGTTCAAAGTTTTTCAAATTATTTTGCTTCTTACATGTATTTTTATAGAACATTATTAGTTTTTTACTTGAAATTGCTGTGACCCAGACTAACTTCAGTGTAAGATTATTTTTAGACAACTTGGCAAAATGTCCCAAAATCCATAACACTTACATTTCACATGTAATCACATGTAATATCAAGGGGATATTGTCTGCAGCCTGCATGAAAGACCATGAAGCAGAAACATGGCAGCCCTATAATACAGCAAACACGAGCTCACTGCTGCATGACACGGACACAGGAATGAAACCAGGCAGACATTCTGCAAATACATTGCCCAATCTTCATTAAAAATAACAAGGAAAGCTCTTTGCTGTTCTTAGGGCAAGCATATTTTAGAAATTGGCCTGCAATTCAGCCAACTACTTAGACACCCATTTCTAATTAAGTAAGCGCTTAAGTCTGCATTCAGCAAGAGTTTAAAAGTTTGGCTTGGACTTCAGCATGTGGTCAAAGCCTGAGCTACGTTTATGGGTCTGTGAATAGTTGAAAGGAAGATCACGTTGTTCAGGAGAGAAGCAGCTTTAGGTAATGCATGGCACTCCTCCCTGCAAAGCTCAGAGATTAGAATCCAAATCCAGATTTCAGTAACTTTGATTTAAACTTGAAATAGCTTTATAGCAGGCCAAGAGAAATCAGACTCTGCTTCTACATCTAAACTATCCATAGTGACCCCTCCAAATGTAATGCTGCAAGATTATCCTTCCCAGCCACATCACTTGCTCTTGTAGGAACATCCAACCAACATGCATGCTCACCTTTTTTTAATGATTGCCAAATTAGATTGCTGGATCTGTAATTCCAGTGCCAATAAAGATAGAGGTAGAGCACAGAGCTAATGAAGCAGGGCAGCTTGGAGGGCAGGGGAGTGTGCAGGGGCAATCTTCATTACGCATGGTAAATATATAAGGCCTGTGGATAGGCCGTGTAGTCACCTGATGAGAGGATACTAAACCAGTGAGATCATTTATGGTGGGAGTTGCCTTTCTTTGCTAGAAAAGCTAGTGTCAGCCTCAGAACGTGTTTTCACTGAGTAACTCTGAAATACCGCAATTCAAATCCACTTATGCAACAAAAGAGGTATGACCTGTGAACAAACCAAATGGGCATAACTGCACTTGCCTTTCAAAAAAACAGCTTCAGATCTGTATACAGCAGGCAGCAATTCAGGATCACAGTGTCCCCATCACAGTGTCCCAACCACAGTATTAGAACTGCGGCTCCTGGACCATATCACTTTTCTGCTGCTAGCGTACTCTGTAAACGGAGAGACTCAGAAACGGTTTAGTTACAGTAATAACTTCAGACTGCAGGACCCAAGTGTTGTTAATAAATTTGTCCTATATGGTTATGGGTGGCTGTAATTTATTTGGTTGCAATCAATATTGTAAAATGATGGAAGTTATATCATAATTAATTAGTCTCTGTATATTTCATCAAAACCATGGCAATTTTCATCCCTAGGACGTGATATAAGTAGTGCTGCTAGAGCAATAGGCATGCATTTTCATTATGCATATGTTTTCTGAATTGGGAGGATTAGTGTGATAATATTTCATTAAAAAAGACAAGAGGGGTGTACCATACAGTTAGTTACAGAAAGGACTTTCAAAGAAGCAGGGGAAGCTGGTGATAAGGATCTTCAAGCAGAGCGGTCCTATCATCTGAAGCATTTCAATGTGCTCAATCTGTTCATGCAGATGATATATGGACAGAGCGGTACTTCCTGGTGTTCTCTTTAGCTGGAGCAAAGTGTTTTAGTACAATTAATAAAGCTGAGAATAAAGTGGAGATATGCCAGGGTCTTTTTTCTTTCAAAATTAAAGGAAGTCAGAAATTTTCCACAGAATTGGGATATTTTTCAGTTAAAAAAAAAAAAAAAGCAAAACTGATGATGGGAAAACATATTTGGGGGGAAAATGTACAATTCTGATATTTTTTCCTTTTTATAGATCTTGTATTCTGAGCATTTTTTGCCAAATTTTCTCCAATGCCATGCTTTTCTGTGAGAAAAAGAAAGTGAAGTGAAGGGAAGGGGTGGAATTTGCAGGGAAATAAAAAGTATTATAGCATTTAATGCCTGACAGGCATTTTTTATTTTGGTGAAAACCATTGGACCCCAAGAGTCACATCAGCAGGTGGTCAGAATTGGACCATGATCTAACTTATTTCCCACATCATATTTGCATCCCAGGTGGCAAATTAAAGAAAGATGTTGTCTCCCCTGAATGCAGAAATCGTCACTGGTCCTTGCATAGGTCATGAACAAATAAATAATGGAGAAACTCAGACAGCTCAAGTCTGGATCAGAGGCAGGAGCCGGCTGTGCCCCAGGGACCATGGGCTGGGCTGCTGCTTCTCACTTGGCCACATAATATATCATTGTCTGTTCTTTGTGGTGTTTATGGCTTTATTACTGTTGTCATACTTTCAGTATTCATACTTTAGATTCATACCTCATATTTTAGAATCATACCTCCAAAAAGCAGCCAAGTAAAGCTAGGTTATGAATAAGGGCACTGCACAATAAGCAGTCTCAGATGACTGCAAACCCAACCACCACCGTCTTTACTGAGATGGGGAAATACATTGCAAAGCTCAGCATAGCTGCACCCTTCCTGAAGGAGCTCAGACAAGTTATTCCTTTCCTTTGGGAGGGTGTAGTCTGCCCTGAAGTGAATGTCTACAAACAAAGTGGTCGGGCACCTGCTGGTCTAGATTTCGCTCTATGGGAAGAAATAGGTTCTCCTTAAATCAGCTCCATATAAAATCTGGAACAGGTCAGGCGAAGAGGGCTTGGGAAATGCACTGACTCCCCGTTTCTCTCCACTGGCTGCTCAATCCGTGCAGCTGCTGGAGCTTCAGGTGTTTAAAATTAACTGAAATTAATCACACTTTATTGTCTCATTTTCCTCTGCAAAATGGGAAACATAAAACTTGGTTGTCCTGCAGAAGAGGTGTGAAGTGAAGTAAATTAAAGACTCCACACTACTCTGAGACTAGAATAATAACTATAAAAGTATCTGCAGTTGTCTGCTGGCTGGGGTATCTGTGGGCTTGATGACTGGGAGAGGCTTCAGAGAGAAATTGAGACTCCATGCCCATTGCCAGGGTGGTAGGGAAGACAATGTTTGACCTAAAATAATAATTAAAAGTTCCTGGGAAAGAACTGTGGCTCCTGTGTTCAAACAGCGAGAGAGATGTAAAAATTGAATATATGTCTTTCAAACTTTAAATTGGATTTATGGAAAAAATGCTCTAAGCCACAATATGTACTATATTCACATTCCTTTTTTGGGGAGACTGAATCTGCTCAGTTAATTTTGGAGAGAAAGAAGAGATGGTTTTACAGTTTAATTTTGCTTTGTTGTTTTTTTCCTCTTAGGGCCTATGCTGTTGCTGATAAAGAGTAAAATTACAATTTTATTTCAGGCACTGAATTTTCAGACTGCTGTTGTCTCACCTGCAAGTATCCTTCCTTCCAGTGCAGTGGATGCAATCGTTGCGGTCTTTTGTTATTTTTCCCCAGCCAAATTCAGGCACTAAATATTACTGAAAACTACAAAATCAATTTCCAACTTGTTATTTTGCTAGACAAACGGGCCTTTGTTGCTTTTGCCCTTTCTCTTCCGTATATGCAGGAGCGCTTGCCAGAACACAAAGTACTCTCCAGTGACACAGCACATTAATTCCAATGAGAGCAACAATTCCTTATACATATTTTATAGCAAACAAATGAACTATTAAATTTTTTATAGACTGTATGCTGTGAAAAGTCATATTATAATTTAAGGGTGTCTTTGGCCCACATAGCCCAGCAGTATATTATAACATCACCAGCTTTGTCAGCTCAGCCAGAGTTTTACCCTACAGATAAAATGGTGAAGCCCTGAATTGCTGCAGAGGTGGACATCTGTGAGTACCACCGCAGACTGGCTCTGAGAAGGCGACCATCGGTGTATTTATTCATGATTCTGTATTTTCCAGCCCAGCCCAGCACAACCTAAGTGGTTCCATTGCTCGCTATTACACGGGACTTTTCCTAAAGATATTGATTACAGGGCTGTGCAGCCCACACTGGTGATCTACTCCAAGTACTATCACAACCTGATATCACATCCAGCAATAGAGAATGGTACAGGGAATGTGGGATGGCGGTTTTGCCAATGCAAACTGTCACATCTCTGCTGATGTCTTTATGGCAACCAGCTGCATCTGCTTTACAGAAATACTGTGTCTCTCTAAACCATACCCTTCTTGCCATTTTCCTTTTAATACAACACTCGTGGATATTTTGGTGTGTAGTGGGCATATTTAGAGGCCATTAACTCTTCATAAGCATAAAGAATCCAACCACTGGCAGTGATGGTTCTGAGTCAGCCAGTTAGTGTGCACAGAATGGAAATTGTTTGCAATTTCTTTTCCACCTGTGCATAAATTTGTAGCTCCAGGCATTTCAGTCCTTCTTGGAAGATGGAATAGCTTGAAAGATTCTTTATCTCCGCATTCGTCTCTTCTTTGAAAACGACTTTCAGAAGTGGCAGATAAAACACTTGCCCAGCCCTAAAAATGTCATTTTTAGGGGTTGAAATCCATACATAAGGCAGCCTAGAGACATCAAGACACAGCTTTCTTAATAACCAGACATCTCTCCTGGACCGTTTGCCTGCAGCAGCCTTCAACTTCTCTGCCACATGGCAATTCATTAGGATGTCAGTATTGTGATTTGTTTTATGTATGTCTGTGTTTGCAGGGACTACTATATAACCATGGTGAAATGGGCAACCAGCACCAAGGTGGCAGTAAACTGGCTGAACAGGGCCCAGAACGTGTCTATCCTGACGCTGTGCGACGCCACCACGGGAGTCTGCACAAAGGTAGAAGAGATGAGCCAAATGGTCGTTTGCCATCAGTTTTCATAACCCACGCAAGGAGAAAGTATTTCAGTTACTTTACCGAGCGACAAATCAGCTGGCACACATTTATTTAGGCAGACATAGAATATAAACAATGTTTGCAATATTTACTTTTTTTTTTTTTTACACCTTCTAGAAAGCCAGGAACACTGTGTGTGTGTGTGTGTGTAAGAGAGTGATTACTTGTCTTGAAATAACTGTATACATGCACAAGCACACACACACATCAACAGTTGGTAATCTGAATATCTTTGCAACATTCCGGTTTAATGGCATTGTATATATTTAATATATATGGCATTATATATATTTTTTATATATATATACACACATATATATACATACACACAGAGGTGCTATGCTGGACCTAGAGGTGCTATGCTGGACCTTGTTCTCACCAACAAGGAGGGGCTGATGGGGAATGTGAAGCTCAAGGGCAGCCTGGGCTGCAGTGACCACGAAATGGTGGAGTTCAAGATCCTTAGGGCAGCGAGGAGGGCGCACAGCAAGCTCACTCCCCTGGAGTTCAGGAGAGCAGACTTGGGCCTCTTCAGGGATGTGCTTGGTAGAGTGCCATGGGACAAAGCCCTGGAGGGAAGAGGGGCCCAAGAAAGCTGGGTAATATTCAAGGACCACCTCCTCCAAGCTCAGGAGCGATGCATCCCAACAAAGAGGAAGTCAGGCAAAAACTCCAGGAGGCCTGCATGGATGAACAAG